ATCTGGATTTTTGTTCTGAACAAAGACATTTGCTCTGAACACCTTCTGGCAAAGCTGTGCAACTAACTGCTCACCTGAATGTTTAATTTAGTGCCCACTCAAGCAGAAGCATGCCCACTGCTGATGCCTAAAAAGCACCTCAGGTATAACCTATCTCCTTCCTTAGTCACTGACATGGCCCAGCTTTACTGACTTGGTGAAACACAAGAACTCTGCTTGGCTGCAGATGAGTGCCCATCCTTGTGTCACTTTTCACAGCCTTTTCATCTCACAGTGCTTTTCACAGCCCAGCACTTACAGCTTTTTATTCTGATTTCCTTGGTGCAATCTGTGCTTCTACAGGATCTTCTGAGTGTATTATAAACTTTTCCCATAGAGTCTTTAATTTTACTGTTATTTGCAATTCTGCAATATTTTGCTACTGATATCATGCAGTAGTAAACACACAATTGATCAGAATTTTGGTATCTTTCATTCTTCACAGAAGAGATGCAGTACTTCTCAAGCCTGGGATTTAATGATGTTCTGTGGGAAAGCAAAGATAGCAGAGCTTGGGTCTGGGTTTTTTCACCCTGCCAAATTTCATAGAAAATCTTGCTACAGATTTCTTGTCCAATGTCATCCATTTTTCCAGAAATGATAAGCACTTATTTTTGCTGCTGAAGTAAATAGAAAAACACAGAGCTTGTAGAAACCAGATTTTCAAGTATTAATATTTTAATGCTTGGGGTTTTTGGTTTTTTCCTTGTAGCGATTATCTATGCTTAGTGTCATTTTGCTGTTTATATTACAGTAGAGATTATAGCAAAAAAAAGAGTAAGATCAGTCATCTTACTAGGAGTTTATTTTCAGGTGCTTTTTCTTCTTGTGTTTTCAGAGTAAGCACACAAATGAAGCTGCAGAAAATGGCATAGCTGCTTGCGGGGATTGCTTGCAAGAGTATTTGCAGTGTCATCTTGAAAATATGTTTTGAAAAGTTGGAATGAAAAAGAGGGATGTTTTGACACAGAATCTGTGAGGAAGAACAAATATATTTTAAATGAGAGTCAGCATTGATAACTTAATGAAATTGCCGGAGTTGCCCAGGGGATGGAGATATGAGTCATGTAACTCTCCTGAACCTGCTGGTAATGGAATGACTATTGTTAAGCAGCATGAAGAGAGCCTCCACTGAAATAGGAAAATTGTTTCCTTTGGACTGGAAAATATGAAATTTATTTATTTTTTAATCAGTCTTAAAAATTACAAGCTAGCTTTTCCAATAAATGCAGCTCTAGCTTGTTTATAATTTCTGTCTCACCAGGATCTGTAATGTGGCACTTGCAGCAAAACTTGTTAATGAAAGAAAGCCTTTCTGTGCGACCTTAATCAAGTTCTAAAAATTGTTCTCATATTTAGTCAAGGAGTTTTATAAATACTTAGTTTGTAAAGCCTGACAATATGTGGAAAAATAATGACCAATCTCTGCTTTCAGAAGTTTGAAGTTGTAACAAGAATTTAACAAGAAATTGATTCTCATACTCTATGGAAAAATCACTAGAAACTTAACTTTCATCACTCAGTTCATAGCAGGAGCATCACATATGCATGGTATAAAAATTTAGAAATACCTTAAATGCTGTCAGTAAATAAAATAAGTCTTTTTTTGTGTCTTTTTCATGAGAGAGAAACTGCAGTGTTTTGGAAACCAACATATACCAAATTAATGTATATATATATATGTATATATATGTGTATATGTATGTGTGTGTATATATATATGTGTGTGTGTGTGTGTGTATATTTTTATATATATATATATATATATATATAAACATTACACTTGCATATACAAACATATAAAAGGGTAGATTTAACACTTAACCATATGTATCTGTTGATCTACTGCATAGACCAAATTTCCTTCTCTCTCTCTTCCTCTGCCCCTGCCACCTCCTCTACCCCACCTTTTTATTTTTGGCATGGGGAATGAACCAAAATTCCCCCTGTTGTCTTGGCTGTATGGCTTAATTCATTGAACTAAGGCTAGGAGTCCAATCATGTGAATTAGTGAAAGAAGAATAAAGGGAAGAAACCCACAACAGCAATAACATTGAAACAAAATCAAATTTTATTCTTTCTTGTGCATCAAAAGCATGTCACTCTCCATTTTGCAAATGTTTATGCATTCAAGAATCCCCCATAGTCTATTTAGATGACTCACATGCATGACATTAAATGCAGATATTGCAGTATTGAGGAGTTCTTGGTTGTTAAATTCCTCCTGGAAGGTCTGTCATTCGCACAGAAAATTGCTTCACGTACTCAAGTGTTACCCTATTGCAACTCAGGCTGAAGAAGCAGTTACTCCAACGTGATAGTAACTTATTTTCAGGAGCAGGATACTGGAGCATGTTTGTGAGGACTGAAGTCAGAAAGTGCTCCTTGTAGAATGACAAGGAGAAATAATGAAGAAATTATCTGAGGATGAACACAACAAAGTAAGAGAATACTTTTATTAGTGACTTATCCGGCATTCCATTTTTTTCAAAAAGTGAGTTAGAGATAATTCTGTTAAATTAATCTCTCCTTTCCCCCAACGTAAGGTCTTTTGATACTATTTCAAATTACAGTACTAGGAAATGAAGTAAAATGGAATAAACAGGGTTTTTTTATGTGTTTGTTTAATGGTTTGCTGTGAAAGCAGAGTAGAACTGCTTTATGTTTTAATTTCTTTCAAAGGTCCCTGTCCTGTAAACACCTTGTTTCCAACAGTGGCAGGTTTCTGTGTTCCCATGCTGTATCCAAGGGCTTCTACACAGAATCACTCCCCTGCCACTGTGCTAACACTTGCTGGCTCAGGGCTAGATGCACATGCCTAACTCTACATGCATCCGTCATTCCAATGAGCTCAGATGGGGGAGGTGACTTTATGAAACAGCTACACCAGAGATGTACAATAATACATTATTCTTTAGGCTGTTCTGCAAACACATCTTGCATTGCAGCCTGACACTACCTGAAAGACAGTTAAATGGTAAGAACCTTTCATTTAACACTAAGTCAGATTAAGAGGGTGAAGGATTAGCAACTCCAAATTACATAACGCAGCCTTTGGATGTGATTCACTTTTTAAGGAAAAGAAAAAAAGCCAGCAACTAGTGTGTTTCTAACATGATTAGCAAAGCACTTCTGAGAAATGTTTCCTACAAAAATGTGCGGTTGTATTTCATGCCATTGCATACTTTTAAAATTAATTCACTTCAGAGAATGACAGTATCTGGAGGATATAGACAGTGAATGTCTTTGTCTGTATGATCTTTACTTATCTTTGAAATTTAAAAAAAGGATATTTTACATCGCTTCATTGAATATCTTGATGTTATGAATGGCACTGCCTTGAAGTTATAAATTATGTCTTTCCATCTCTCTTCTCTTTAGACTGTCTGTACTTTGTTACAGCTTCAGAATGACAACTTGTGCTAACCACAGGCATAAAATAATTCAGCACTCCTTGTATCAGAAGTGTATTTTTACCCAGACACACAAAGCACACAATTATTATGTTAAGGCAACATTCATATGCAATATTAATGTTCTGATAATTTTATCTAACAAACACTGGAAAATATGTGCTCTCTCACATTACCTAGGTTAATGTGCACTCTTAAAATAATATTTCTTTACCCTAAATTTCCTTTTATGATTGCATCTCTGAGGTATGTTTTCCAATGCCCAACACTTGGCAACAGCATGCAGCCAACATTTCAGTAGTCTGTTTTCTTCTATTATTTATCTGATGTGCTTTAGAGTATGTCTTGATTCAATTCTGTTTCATGTGCGTGGGATGCACACAGATGAATTTGGAAAGGAGTTTTGGTGCTATCAGATGGACTTGCTGCTGGAAGTTGTGCTCCCACACTCCTTAATCAAAGTCTCCATCTCTTTTTCCCAGTTCTGCAGGGGCTGCTTGCAAGATTACTGGTGTATTTGGCTTGTACTAAAGACAGATAAGCCTTCTGTAGATCTTTAGCTCCACTCTCACGAAAAATCTAAATACTGTGTGGCGTGACTGTCCTGGCTGCCAGAAAGTCAGAGTCAGCCATCGACCCATATGTGATGCTTTCTGGTGAGGAAGCAATGAGACAGATATTGGTCTGAAACAGTCTGCAACCTATCACCTGTTCCTGGGCCATGGAAATGACAAAGGGAAGCCAAGCTCAAGCTGGATTTGAGAAAAAATGGGACAGCTTCTGTGCTGTACAGATTGCTTGTGTTTATGCACCTGGAAAAGAGTTTAATCTGGTCTTTTTGGTTAGAATCAAATAGTTTGGAACTTCAGCTGGTAAAATGGTAGCAAGCTAAGAACAAAAAAAGCCCCACTAAGTTAAACCCCCACCCTACGAAATTATTTTATGTATTGTTCATGCTCTAAGCTGGTATTTTTATCTAGCAAATATTTTCTAAAAGAGATTTATTGTATGAACCTCCACACGTAGTAATAGCTATCACGTAATGCCTTAAAACAGTATACCTGCTTTGAGTAAAAGTCCTCACAGTCACCTTGGCAAACAGTAAATTATGTTTTTGTTCCCTTTTCGCATCAATAGAGGTATACACAGAGATAGAGTTTAATTATTGGTCATGTACAAGATATTATTTGAACCAGGGTTAAAACTAGGGTGTTTCAAGTGCTTTTCATTTTCTTAGGGACAGCATATTTTTATTTCATTTGCTCTTTTACTCTAAAATGAATTTATTAAGACAAGAATCTCAAAGAGCAAAATATTGGAAATATTTTTGTGTATTTGTGTGTCATGTTACCTGTAAAATGAGTGATTCATCTCTTGGTAGAGCAGCACACATCTGCATCAGTATAGAAGCAAAGAAGGAAGGTTTTGTCATTTAAAATTTGATTTAATTTTTTTTAAAAAATGAGTAAACTGAGTAAATGAGTAAAATAAAAAAATGAGTAAAATAGCAAACTTTTTTCTAATGTCCTTAATAATTTTGTGTTTCAGAGCATGGCTAGTGACCTATCTTCCTGAGGAGAATGGCTGATTTGTCTTTGAAATTATTCTTGGAATTAGACCAGCATGAGATCTCCTCTTCCAAACTGAGGTAATACTGTTGAAAGGCAAGAAACCTGAAGTGATGTATGTCCAACTGTCTGTGCATTGACAATGTCAGCTGCAGAAAAGGTTCCACATGCCTGGGCCAAACGAAACAGTCAGAATGGGTAAACCTGAGGACAGCAGTCTCTTCTGAGGGATATTTGGTTGGTGAAGACAAAAGCTTTTATAGGTAATTTCTAGGAGCATGTTTTATTAAAAATTATATCCCAGCCTTCTGCCATAATGAAGCATCTTCTTGAAGGTTAACCAACTAGTTATTTACCTAACAGTACTCAGCATAATGGCAAATACAGGAGTGGTGTCACTTTCGGTTAATTTGTAGAGCCTTTAAAACATCAGAGATTCCACTATGAGAAAATAAGACAATTTAAAATGATAGTATGGGCAGTAGGTATCTAAAAATCTCTTAAAGACAAAAGTTTCTGCACTTCCTAAATCCTTTCTCAATTACACACCTGTTTTGTAAATTAAAATATGATACAATACATATATATGTACAGTTCTCTTTAAGAGAAGTAAGCACAAAATTGTGTATGTATTCATATCCGTATTTATGTGTATCCTCCTCTAATCCCTAGTGGTATTATAATTCTAGAAGTAAATTAAATGCTTATCTTGTTGAAGGTCTTTATTAAAACGTACATTATTCTATAATACCAGTAACACCTAATTTAAGAAATATTTTTTAATTTGAAGTTCAACAAAATGCTTACTCTCTTCAGAATGTTTAGTGGTATCTGCAATCTGTGAAACCATTAATAAGATCACAACTGATTTTGCAGTTGTTGCTCACCTCAGTCTTATTTTATATGTATGTAACTCAGGTGCTGGTTTTCCCTAGTACCAGCTAAAGACAATAGAAAATGTAGTTTATCTAGAAAAAGTTGGAAACAGTATTCCATAAAAATTAAGCCAAAGAAATCTTATTATTGGAAAGCAGAAAATACTTTAATTCAATGTATTCTTAATTTAAGAACCTGTTTTAAGGTGAACACAGGAAAGCAAATTGCAGTTCTATGCAACCATTTCTCCAGGAAAGCTTTGATGAGATTTCATCTAAATTCCAGTGTAGTTTCATCCCAGTTGTTAAGGATGCAGCCAGACTACCAAGCTAGGTAGCAGCATCAAGGTGCATTCCTTCTAGAAAAGAGCTTGGATAGGACAAATTTTATGTTCAGCTCAGCAGACTCGGATCAGTAAGATGGATGTAGTTGATGCAGTGTCTGCTCATATTTCATATTCTAAAAAAACAGAGGTTTTCTTATATAATAGAAACAGGTTTGTTTACTTTTTAGAAATCATAAAACTTGTACAGCAGCAGCATTAGCTGCTCTACTTTTTTGCCTCTATGGCCTAATGAATCTTGAATATTTCTTTGCAAGCTGAGCAAGACTGTGTCCTCATCTAGAAACTGCTCATTCCTGGTGAAGTGGGATAGTTCTGACTTTCTCTGTAGAGATAAGAACTAGAGGCAGCCAATAACAAGGACAGGCAGAAGGATTTAGGTGGAATTCAGATTAATTAGATTAAGCTGGATCCAGGCCAGCTTAGTCTATGTAGCTCCTTCATTTTGGCATCTCCTCTAGCTCTACCAGATAGACCAAGTCTGGTGGTGAATTTGACATGTGTGTAGAGTTGAATAAGTAGTAAGAATAGTAGCCTTACTGGCTTAAAAAGTTGACTTTTTTTTTTCTTTTTCTGAAAAGTAAGGGTTCTGAGCAAAGCTCTGTCAACAGTATCTTTCACTCTTGTGTCACAACCATCACTATGACCCATCACTTAATGATTTTATGCTTTGAGGTTTTGGGGCTGATTTTTTTGGGGGTTTGGGGTTTGGGGGTTTTTTTGGTAGGGTTTATTTTTGGGGGTTTTTTCTTGGTTTCTTGGGGGTTTTTGTTTGGAGTTTTCTTGTTTAGTTGTTTTGGTTTTGTTTTGGTTTTTTTTCTGGGGTGGGAGGAAGCTTTTTGTTTGCTTGTTTTATTAAACTATGTGATAAAATGGGCTCTCCTGCTCAGAAGGGCAAGATTGCAGTAACCACAATGAAAGCTAATGGAAAAATACAAGTCAGCAGCAAAACCAAACACCTTTTTACCTACTGTTTTACACCATAAATGCTGTTCAGTTTTAATTAACTGATCAGCACAAAAATCGATAATTTTATCACTCTTCCAGGGTGTGAATGTCAGTTGTTTTGTCACCATTTTGCAGAAAACAAGGCTCAGGCAATGGAGCATATATGGCAAAAATAAAAAGCCAAGCCCTTCTTGCATTTGAATCTGGGAAAACTTTGGCAGTTCTGTCTTAAAGTTCAACTAGAAGAAAATCGTGCACTTGAGCTTTTTAAAGTTTAGCAGTGCAAGAATTAGAGCTTACTTTGAAGCCATTGTGATACTGTCACGTAGTGCATTTCTCAGTTATTACATCAGCAGAGGATGACCTTTGAAGCTGTGGCACAGGCTGCATCCATTTGAGCCAACAGAGTAACCAAAAACTGAGGTCAGACACTTTCCTGTACGTGGGCTGTGCTTGGAGACATCACACATATAGTGGGTATTTGTTGGCTACCTGTGAAGGGAAAATCATACTGAGATAGAAGACTATAAACCAAACAGATTTCTTCTGAGCACAGTGGGAAAGTATCTCAGTTTAGAGACAAGTTTAGGAGAAAACACCCTGGATGGAGTGCTTCCTCTAAAAGGAATCCAACAATCCCGTTTTGCCAATAGGAAATGAGTACTAGTGAATGAAAGTGAAAAAAAACAAATAAACAACTATTAATTGACAGAGTGCCCAAATGGCACAGGAAGAAGGTAAATCAATGCTAGATATTGAAACCCAAAACCCCCCAAAATGCCAGGGAAATATAAACACAACATCAGCTTGCCATGTGGTGGGTAAAAAAATGGCACAAGCTTTCAGAGGAAAAAAGCAAACAAAAAACAAATATGAGATTCAAGCAGCAGTTTGGGCAAACAGAGGTGAACCTGCTGACTCCGGTGTCAATCCCCTCTTCACAGCAGGTGAAACAGATGGGCTTGGTGTGCTGTCTCTTGGTAGCTGGGCTTTTCCTGAGGTGCGGAGCCAAAACAGCCCCTTGCCCTTCCCACCAGTCCCAACTGACCCCTCTCCCACCAGTAATCCTCTCTAATCTTAGACAAAAACCAAACCATCCAGTCCACATCGAAAAAGACACAAAAGGATTGCTGCTGTAGCCTCTCCAAGGACAGGAAAAGACAAAGAGGCTTCTGGGCTAACAAAAAAGCCGACCTGGCCAGACAAAAATAACCCAGATTGCACGGCACCCTGGACACTTCGGGAGTGAGGCTCCAGAAAAACAAACAAACAAAAAACAAACATGCCAATATGCCCGAGGCTTCCCACTCCCCCAGACCCACCTTTGAGATACAGCAATCTTTTCTGGGCATAAAGCAGAGGATTAGGGAATACAGTACCATCACAAAATCACCCCAAAACAGAAAGAAAGTAAAACAGTCCTTTTGTTTCCCAAATCACACCTGAGTGTATTTTCCTTCCATAAATCTACTTTATAAGCTCATGATGCTTTAGTTTGGGGTTTTTTTTCCCTTAGATGATATATATATGCATGTAAATAAAATATAAAATTAGGAGACAGAACATTGTGCTTTTTAAAGGCATATGGCAACAAGAATACCCTTGAAGAGCTCTGTCTGAAGATTGCAAATTTTGTTCTAATTTTCACTGATGCTCTTTTCAGTTTTAGCTCATTCTCTGAGTAAAATCTTTTTATTAAACACTTAAATTTTTTTCTTTGATTATATATTCAGTTCAAGATATGGTGCAAAGCTAAGGCTATGAGAAAATCATTGATGGATGTTTAATTTGAATTAATTCCAAATCCACTGAGTATCTTGGTGCCGCAATTTTTTGTTTACAGCTCAGCCACCATCAATCTGGACTTCTGAAAAATCAGCATAAAAGTGTTAAAGGCCCAGTTTGAATCCAGGCCAATATTAGGCTGCAGCTTATGCATCAGCATAGGGGAAGAGGAGGGAAACAGAAATATTTTGTGTCTTGAAAAGTCTACTCTAGACATCTAAAAAAATCTTAGCACCTACTTGTATGAAAACAAAATTTTTTTCTAGATTTTTTTTTTAAATGTAAAAAGTAGAGGAAGAAATTTTTTTGAATTTCCATAAGAGAGAAAATGTGTGTATTTGATAACAATATCAACATGTGAAAATGTGTGGATCTGGATGAATGTTTGTACATATATAAAGAAAAATCAGATTTTGACAGCTGAAACTGAAACAATGCTTCCACTTACCATCTCCAGCAACTTAAGGTATTACCTCAGAGCAGGTCAGTCAGTCCAAGTACACAATCTACCTGATGAATAAGCCCAAATGAACCCTAAATAGATTTATTTTCCTGTTTGAAATCTGATGAAAGCTTCAGAGATTACTTTGAATGCCTATAGCTGTTGCTTGCCTTCTGCATTAGAGGCTGGTGAATACCTTCCATCGATGTCACAAAATGTTTGTTCATATCTTTGAGTGATTCACTGTAGTTGTCTCTGCCCTTCTGTGTATGAATCGTCTTAGAAAGTAGTTTTCTGGAGAAAACAATCACTAACAGAAAATTTTAAACTATTACTAAACATTCATGATGTGGATATTATCATTCACAGCCATGAGCGTTAAAAGTCTCATTTCAAAATACTATTAGCCAAGAGAAATCCTTATCTTACTTACATAGCCAAATAAAGGTATTGATTAAGAAACAATTATTTTAGATAACTATTAGTTATTTATTAAAAAACAAAACATATCAAATATGTCTTTGATGGAAGTATATCAAAGATGATGGAAGAGAATTTGCAAAGATATTTTGTGCCCTCACCATAGCAAAACAGACTTGACTTGGGGAAATTAGTTTCATTTGTTACTAATCCAGTCAGAGTACAATAATGACAAAAAACTCCACAAATCTTAAAATACCTTCCCTCCAACATTCCCCTCTCGCTACTATGGAAAGCCCATATATTCCTATACCTGACAGTCTTCAAGGAAACTCTTCAGAACCTCATGCCTATGAAGGCAACTCCTTTCCCTGTCTTGTGGGCTTCTCCTGGAAATGGGTATGGAAAGGCAAGGTATGAATAGGTTACTTTTAGGTCTGTTTTCCTCATCTCTAGTTTATTTTCAAAACTGTCAGCTGGGATGTGGTGACTCATAAACATGTTTTCTTCAGGAATCTTCCACAGCTGATTTCCATCAGCTTCCTAAGTATCTAACGGAGGAAAAGCACCCTGTTGGCACTGCTGCCAGGAATTTGAACTTCCTATACTTGCAGATTTGCCATACTGGGCAGTGTATTTGTGTGAAACAGCACCATTGCAAAAGACTGTATAAGTTAAATATTTCACTATGGAGTGTGAGCTGACCTTTGAATCTCTTTCAGTGAAACCCGCTCCTGCAAGATCTGTCCTAAACACTTGCCTTTGATCTTATTTCTCCTACATAGGAAAAGTATCTAGAGTGAGATGTTGAAGAGATTTTTGGCCGTCTCACATTAAAGCTCTGTAAAACCAGTGGTTTACAGGCTAACCTTCATGCCATGTCTCCTCAGGGAGACACCAGGGTGACTGATGCAGGTCATGCAGATGGTCACCTCTTGGCGAGGGCTCATGGTGGGCAGCCAACAGGAGGCAACTCCTGTCTTCTGCAGAGGAGGATGTTGCATAGGCTGCCTGTCTAGTCTGGTGATTTCTGTGCCAACCACACACACAGCAAGACAGAAGATAGCATATTATTATGCATGACACAACAATGCTTCTAGATTTTTTAAAATATCATCTATAATTATTGTGAAACTACTGCATGATGAACAAGATTTGGTTTAGGAAAGACAGCACACAGAGCGTTCGTATGGATGTGTGTGCAGAACCCACTGAGGGTTTGGTAGTTTGAGTGATGCTTTGACAACTCTGAGTCCTCACGTGCATATTCCCAGAGTATATCTGCCAGTTTTTATAGAAAGCCCTCCACAAAAAAAGTGCCATAAAAACCATCAACAACTGCTATTTCCATGTATGAGAGATGACCTGACAACTCGGCACAGGAAACAGTTGGAACAAAATAATTGTAGCAATTAAAAGCACTACTTATCTCACTATTTTGCTTAAAAATATGTCCTGAACAATGCTGTCTGAATTGAGTAATTTTGGCAGCTACTAGAAAGGCATGGAGAAATTCTTACAGGTAATATTTTCTCTCTTGTATTATTAAGCTATTTTATTTATGTTGCATCATATTGATGAGGTGCAACCAAGTTTTCTGCTGGAAATGCTCTTAAGGTAATGAGGACAGCATCATGCTCTCTAAGAACAATGTGAGAACACCCCTCTTTGAGAAAGAAAACACCTTTTTGCCTTTTGGTTTCTATAGGGAGGTGATATTGCAACAATTGAGCACTAATAAAATCCTGTTTGGAGAGAAATTTAATGATATTGTATTTTAATAATTCCACTATTTCTAAGGGATTCTAGAAATAATCTCCCGTGTAGAAATATTCCAGTAGGGAAGGTACTTAGTATTACAGAATCACAAAATGAAGTTCAAGCTTCATCTAGATTATTTCTTCTCTTTTACATGCCAGAACTTTACTGAGGGAGAAGACTTTTTCTTTTTTAAATGAATTCATGATTTCCCCAAGGTGGGCCCAGCTATGTTCTGATGGAAGCCTATGGGAATCTCTGATGGGAGATATTTTTCCCGTTCAAGGAGACAACTTTAAGGTGTCTATCACCTGCTTCTGGACAGATACCAAGAAACTGTATTCTGAAACCTTCCCTCTCACTGGCAGATCCATGAAATCATACAGTGGAAATCTGGATGAACCAGACTTAGTTTCCATAACACAAAATACACTTGTTACAGTATAAGAACAACCAGAACATAATAATAAGGGGATCCAGTCTCCTTATTTTCAGAGGCAAGGTAACCAGAAATCTTTGGAACTGAAACCTGGCTGTCCATGTTGAGCCATATTGGTCAAATTCAGCAGTTTGCAATATTACTTTATCAAGCTACAGAGAGTTAGGCATATCACAGACACCTCACTTGTCATAAATAAGCAGGTAATTGTTACCTCCCACTAGCATGTTTGCCTAAACTGTTATTTAAAGCTATTTTAGTTATTGCCCAATTATTAATGAAAAGTTTATAGAAGTGAAAGATTTTCAGAGACAGCTTAGACTTTGTATTTTCTCAAGCAATAATAAATTTATAAGTATTTTATTAGTAAGAATTTAGATCTGAGGTGACACGGAATTATATTGATAAATGTTAATACTGGATAGCTGGAACAACTCCAATGAAGAGAAAATGTTTTCTCTCTATATAGGTTTTGCTTTGTCACCATGCTGCACTCTATATCAGAACAAAGGCTATATGCATAATAAGGTCATGTAAATGAGGTGAAATCAGCAAAAGCATGGGGGGAAGGGGACAATCTAAAACATGGCCATAAGCACAACCACCTAGCAGCAGAGAATTTAAATGTTTAGTGCCAGCTCATTTCAGTTTATTTTTCTGCCGTATTGTTGAATGTGTAGACTGAGGGTCTTGAAAGAGCAGAATGAAAAGCTCTCTGTTCTGGGCCAGAAGGATTGATAGTGTTATTTAACAGACAGTCCAGACATGCCTCCCTGACCCACAGGTATATACCTTTATTTTTTAAAATAGAATCAGCACAGTAATAGTTAGCAGCAGTAATGGGAGGGAGAGAGAGAGAACCCCTGCTCTGTGTTTTGGTGAGAGTGGCTTTTCACAGCCGTGCTGCACTGCCTAAATGCCAGCTCCCAATTTCAGCCATGATGGAAGCTCCGAGTACAATAGAAGCAGGGTATAAATATGAATTACAAATACATGTATATCTTACTTCACTGCCTCTTCCAGTGAATGTAGTCTAAAAATATCCTCCACTCTAAATTGCTGAGGCAATGTCTTGTAAAAGCACTATGGTTATTTACAGAAGAAAATAAAACCTCAAGCCCTAGAAGGAATAAACTTCAAGCTTCAGACACAGTAATAGTAATGCGAACTGTTCTGCATTTGACTGCAAATTAACTATCTCTTTGAAAGATATTGCTCTCACTTAATAATGTGACATGCATGCCCACATTAAGAGCAATAGAATTTTATATATGGAGAGTTTATGAGGAAAACCTTGTTGCTTCAAATAATAATGGGATGGGAAAAGTAAATACTACATATGTACATGTTGTGAAATTCTTTTATTGTTGTAGCTCAGTAAAAGTAATTTATATTGACTTCTGGAAAAGCAATATCAATTATTTGTGCACAAGTGGATCTCAAAGGAAAAAAAGAGGGAGGAGAAAAATACATAGAATTAATATTAAAATTGTATTTAAATTTTAGAGACAGATGCAGCAAATTTACTTAAAAGAAACTTCTTGGATCAGTAATTTATTGATACTAAGAGGTTCACTCAGGTAAGTGTTGCAACTTTCAAGAACTTGCAGAATAAAGCCCAGGTCTGTAAATATTTAGAAAATAAGTAATTAATTAAATTCTTCTCTTCACAGAAAGGAAGTATTCATTTGGCAGTTGTAAAATGTACTAAGGAAGGCTTTCTTAAAGAAGTGAAAATTAGCTAAGTAGGAACTGATTCCTTCCAACTAGTTAAATCTTTTCTTTACTCTCTACAAAATGAAAAATTAAAATTAGTAACTCTTTCTCTAACACTTGAACTCTTTTACAAAAAAACTTACCACTGCCCATATTAGAGTGGGGCTTAATCAGCATAATTGACAAGGATTTATGAACATTTTAATTTCAATTGCATTTACATACACACATATACATGTGTACATAAATTCATTTTATTCAAGCTATTTTACACAAACAGAACCTTAAGTAGTTGAAGTCTTAAAGTAAAGAAGTAAAAATGCCAAGCAACACATTTTTCATATATCTGTAAGTCCATAAATCTCCTAAAATGGTGCATTAAAAAAAACACAAAAAAAGCAGAGAACTAAATTATGGAAATACGGAATATTTGCCAGTTATATATTGATTTTTATTCAAAATTCCTATATGCAAGCATATAGGCCTACCAGTGAAAAAACTGTAGTAACAGGAAAAAAAAGCAGAACGTGGGGACTTGTAAATAAATCCATGAATAGCAAGAAGGGATGGTAAGATTATGCATTTTAGCAGTACACTCCTCTAAGGCCAGCAGTTGTGAGATGCAATACTGCAGAAGGGAGCGTGTATGTGTAAGATGGGAGGCAGGGAGGAAGGGAGAGGTGTGGGGGGAGAGGGACAGAGGTGGGGACATGTAGGCACAACAAAGCATAATAACATTCCTGAACGTCTGTGTCGGCTCTGTCTCTCTGTATCCTACTGCTGTGGGTGCTGCAAGCAGCGTCTCAGAAGCAGGTGATTGTCCATCAATTGCTTCTTCTTAATTCAAGTATTCTTTGACAAAAGAAAAAAAAAATATTTGTAACTTCAAGTACAGGGAAAACCAAAATGTTTACTTTAATCTAATTTTCAAGATACAGGAGGGCCACACATGTTTCACAGGCTGCTTGCAAATCATAAAATACTGACATACATCTTAGATAGCATGGCTTATTAGAAGTGAATTAATACCAATAATTACACTTTATCTTTTTTAACAACAGCATATTTTTAAAAAACTACAGTTTTAGGGACATAAGGTGAAGGTGAGCCCAGAGCTAGCAGTTCCTTGGTGTTATTTGTCTCCATGGAGGCTGTTTTGTGAACATACAGGGTATGATTTTCTTTATGTGGTAGATGGTGGGGCTTTAAAGAGTGACCAAGTTGGCTTAACGAAGAAGGAGGGCTGAGTGTGTTGCTTGCAAGAGAATAACCATCTTCCAGAGCTCTTAAATACACACTACATGTAGTGTATGTCTTGAGTGGCTTTTGTTTTCTGTTTTTGTAAGCTTTTACAATTTATTTTTTTTCCCCTGCATCAAATGTCAAGTTAATTTACGGGGCACTATTACTGATATGTTTTCCTTGGTTTGTGGTTTTCTGTGAAAGTAGGCAGCTGAGACGGAGTTTTGGGGTGAGGGGGAGGTAAAGGATACAGAGTGTATGCCTGCGCCTGTGAATTGGCTGTCAGTGTGACAGCAGAACTGTCACTTCCCATCCTCATTTGCATCCTGAAGACTATCCAGGATAAAACCCAACTAATTTCCATATGGGATTTAGACTTGACATTTATTATTTGGTTCACAGACCTCCCAAAGGAAAGTTTGTTTTACACTCGTAGAAAAATCTTCAAAGATAAATAAAGCTGCTTTAGCAGGAATAGTAAATATGTAAATATGCATGTAAATACATGGAGTATTATCAAATTTTTCCTTTCTGTGAGTAAATTTTCAAGCTTTTCATGTATTACTACACTATTGCTATAAAAAATGAATATATCAAGTATAATATAAAAATGCCAAGTATAATATAGAACAGATTCGTTCTTACATAGCTTAAGGAAAAACATACCCAGCAATGATTTGTAAAGTTTGCATTCTCATTTCTCCTTTACTAGGAAATTTAATGAATAAAGGAGAATAAAAAGTGCTAAGATGAAATATTGCTTTGTTATTTACAATGAATCCTTTAATAGAGTTTTGAATATGCCATTTTTTACTTAATTCTGCAGTAGACCTGTGAATAGTTTTCACCAGCGCTGCTTACTTAGTCAGTGACACTTAAGGTGAATGAAAACTATACAATTAGACTTTGAAGGGAATATTGATAATTTTAACAAAATCACCTGAGCAACACTGCAAGATACTAAGTACCTTGAAACTAATCTGCTGTGGACTCACAAGAAGGATAAACTTAAACTGTGTTCTCAGAGTTCCAAGATATGCACACAAATGGTTTAACTGCATTGCTGAGTGAGGGAGAAAATGAATAGAACTTTGTTGTCCTGCTTTTTGGTGGTTTTTTTGAACAGTATTTTTTGTGTTGAGAATGGTTTCTTAGAATACGGAAAATCATTCAACAAATATATAGGACTTAGATTTTTTTTTTTTTTTTTTCCGTGCCAGAGACTTCTTTGTGAGGAAGGTCTGCCTCATGAGGGAAAATGCTTTCTGATTAAGTAGATTCATACCCAACTGAAATAAATATAAACACTAAAGTTTCGTTGTAGTTTTGTTAAACAGTAGAAGTATTCTATTTGTATTCTACAAATTCAGGCATTGCATTAAAAGCCTTATGTAGGTAACAGCATGGAACTGGTGAGACCAGACAATGGCTATAAGGATGTCCTGGGTGGACTCTTGTTATCACCTGCCCCAGAAGGTGAAGGTAACCCCGGTTCTTGTTAAAAGATCCCTTGGGGCAGAATAAGTGAGATGGCACTGAATGATTGGGACGTAAAATAAATATACATATACATATACACATACACATACACATACACATACACATACACATACACATACACATACATATGTATATATTTGTGTATATATATATATATATGTGTATGTGTGTGTGAGTTCATTTTAGAATAAATTGGTTACAGTGGAAAGCAGGTATGTAGCCATTTTTGTTATTATTATCTATAGCAATATAGCAATATAAAAGCATAAAAATAGCACATAAGAAAATGCATAAGGAAAAGAAAGAAAGTGACAGAAAGGACAAGAGCAGAAAGGTAACGCCACCCATGGATCCAGCCTTGACTGCTGCAATTTTGGTGTCAATTTTTAGGGGTGATGGTCACAGTCTTGATCCGTCAGGGGCTGGGAAAAGCAAAGCCCATGAAACACAAAGATCAGTTGGTTAATGTGCATTTAGATTTAGGTGGAACGTCGCTTCCCTGGGCAGGAGGAAGAGTATTACACTGTCTATTTCAGCGCTGTGTTTCTGTTGTAACACTGTGAACCTTGTGCAGACCTCCAGTGGAAGGCCTCAAAAGGGGGGCCTGGGGGGAACTTTGGGGGTCTTTGATGATTTAGGAGCCTTTCTAAGTGATGACAGCTGCCTCTCATCAGTGTAGTCGAGCCAGTTATGCCCATCAGAAGGGACGAATTAACCTCACTCCTGCAGGGGAAAGGAAGGGAAGAGTTTTACAACTGAACCAATTTTGTATGGGTATTGGCACAATAAAAAGCACTATCCTTTCTCTGCATGGTCTGCTTCTTGCCAACCTTCTCCCTCACCTGGCTCAAACCCCAGTACACAAAAAACTCTCTGCCATCTCCTAAGCTGAGTGGTGAGTGCAAATCTAGCCTCAGCAAATGACTGAATATTTTGAGTCATTAACCATTAACATTCCAGTCTCTCACAACCCTGAACAGAACAATACTGATATTGTCCAGAGAAGATCACCAGTCCAAATGCACAGAGTAAGTGAAGTACTAGATAAAGGAGGGAAGATAGACTCTGGGCAGATTGATCACAGGATCATAGAATGGCTTGCGTTGGAAAGCACCTTAAAGATCCTCTTGTTCCACTTCCCCTAACACAGGCAGGGATGCCTTCCACAAGACCAGCTTGGTTCAAGCCCTATCCAGTCAGACCCTGAACCTTCCCAGGACATCCGCAACTTCTCTTGGCAACTTCTTCTAGCACTTCACCATGCTCCTAGAGAAGAATTCCTTCCTAATATACAATGTAAAACTACTCTTAGTAGTATCTATCCACATCTGCTCAAGCACAATGAACTGGCAAACTCAAAAAGCACCAAGTATGTGTTTTAAAGAGCAAGGATTGTATTAAGTGCTATCTAAAGTAGAGATATTTTGCAGTTCCCTGAAGAAATTCAGTTTTTCTGCAGTGAGGAATATTTTGGAAATACCTGCTTTGTAGTGTTTTCATCAGGCAAGACAATTACTCTTTAAGAGCTAAAAATAAAAGTCACCCCTGTCAGGGTTGGCTTGGAAATTTAAAGAGGAAGGCATGAAATACTGGAGGCCACAGTAACTTCCTATCACCTTTTCAAATCTGGCACCAGTATAGAAATCTAGTAGCTGTGTGGTCTGCCTCTAGACCTTCTGTTTTCCAGCACAGACTTCAATTATCTTGTTCAACTTTCTTACAAAAAACTTAGTGCTAAATACTGGGCCATGATACAGACTTGTCTTTCCCTACAGCTTTGTGTGTATCATTCAGCTTTTTGTTAAGTCCTTTTAGGTCTCTATTCATTTTCCAAGGTGTAATTTACTATTTCCTATTACTGTCTTTTAGCTCACCATTGCTGGGTTTGTTTTTTTTTTGTCAGTCTTCACCTTCAGAGGTGTTATCTTAATTCCTTGCCTTCTGTTTCCTCAATTTTTTTCCTTTCCTTTTCCTCCCACTGCATTCTCTCCCACATCCTTATTTGTCAACCACCCTCCAGCAATCTGACTCCTCTTTTGTATGGTCATCTTCTGGTTTTCCTTAGTCATGCAGCAGTGCCAGGCTGACCTGCCTCCACAGACACTATTGTTCTGGAAGAGTGTCCCTGGAATTCACTTCACAGCAGCCCCTTGCTCACTTGTTCACAGCCTGGCTCCACTTCAGCAGGACGCAGTAAGGCACTGGGTGGGGTGCTGCAAGTCTCTAGGATTTTGAAGCCTAATTGGAAGGCACTCTTCTATCCAGAGAAGCATCACAGATGTATGTGACTGTTCTTTTGGGTATAAGAGACCCAAAGAAAGCTCTTTATCAGGAGAGCTTAGGACACCCTTCCTTTAGATAGCCTGTGCATTTTAATGAAGGAGTTTATTATTAGTTATAAGTATCATGTGAAAGTCCTTGAAGTGGAACTTCTTCCTTAGGGAAGAGCTCAAACAGCTATCCTTTTGGTGAAGGATAGGCCTTCGTCTAGACTCCCATGAGAAGCCTTATGTGGGAAAGTTAGTGAAGTAAATAATTGCCTGCAGGGGTAAGCCCAGACACAAAAAATATGAATGTGAGAGACACACAAGTAGTTTGCAAGATATTAGTTCATGATGAATATCAGTATATTTGTAAAAGGTATTTTAGTCTCTGGCATTCATGAAATTCATACCATAGCTGTATATTGTGTCAATATAAATAAATATAAATTTTTCAGTAATGTATTTCTACAGGGAACACATAAACCTTAATGATTCATAATAAAAAGAGCAAAAAGTTCCCAGAATTGCTAACAGTGAAGCACACAAAGCTTTGTTGACTTCTGTGGGACTATTTATATGAAGAAAGTTACCTACATTCCTAAGTGTTCACATTATTGTGTTTTAATAATGTCATTGTTTTTCTTTTGTTTTCTTTTCTTTTGTTTTTTGTCCTCACCTCTTACTCCTCAGAATATTAATAATCCAAAGGTGGCCTCTTCCAATAGTAAATTACCCTTCAATCCCTGCATCTCTGTGCCAGGTGGAGATCTTCGAGATGTTGTTGATGCCTGTGCTTGGCTCAGACTGTACCTGCTAAAAAGGTGCAAAATGATTGCACATGGGAGTTGAGGACTACTCTTGCCCATATTTAGTGAGGCACGAGCAAGATTTATTATCATCTCCCAGATTTTCTATTACTAGTTAAGGCCAAGTGAAATAATTTATTTCTCACTAGATTATGAAACAATTCACAGGTTGTATTTTTGTGCTGAAACTGCACCTGCATTATTACTAGGTAAAAGTAAAAAGCTATGGTATGGTGTTCATAAAGAGTCTTACATAAAAGGGAGAAGAGCTTTGAGAATGCAACTGAGCTCTCCATTTTCTTCTGTAAGGAAGAAAACTGGCATATTGTCATGGAGTTACTTTACCTTTAAGGGAGCTGGAGTTGCTGGGAAGTGCTTGGAGTCTTTTCTCCTGACCAATTATCGGTCATTGCTGGGAATTGACAGCAGTTTAGGCCATTGAAAAGTGGGATCAACTTGTGAACCCTACCTTAAAATGTAAAAGCAGAGCTCTCTGGGTTCTCTTTGTTTCCTGGCTGTGGAGGGTCCGGAGCTCCAGGCCTCCCGTCCCTGCCCAGGCCATGCGGCCGGGCGGGGATGGGGCCGGGCCTGCCCCGTCTCCAGGCCGGGAGATGGGGGGGCCTGGGGAAGGTTTTCCTCGGGCCCGGGCCGAGCCCATCTCTGGCTCGGCTGCAGGTTTTGCTGTAGCTGAATTCACTGGAAACTGCTGAGTGAAGAGAGAGAGTACCTCAAGACCTGCAGCAAGCAGAGACAGCCACACTCTCCAGAGCAGCTATGAGGAACCTTCCGTCGCAGACGGCTCCAGCTCCTGTTCGGCAGAGATCCCCGAACCATCTACAAAAGCCTGGGCAAGATTTCAACTCTTTCATTACCCAGATGAGACTTGCGGATTAATCTTTTTATCCAGAGAGAGAGAGAGAGAGAGATCAACATGAAAAGAGACTTTATAAACTACCAGTGACAGGAAAGAAAAGAAGCTTCAAGAAAGGTAGAGAATTAAGAAGATGCTTTAATTAAGCTGAAATATCTTTCTGTTAAAACTATGGAGCTGGACAATGAAGTCCTGAAAAGAACTCCTTTAATTCATAATACAGTATCTAGAGAGGAATAAAGTGTTCAAAGTGTAAATTTGAGTAAAAAGTAGAGTAATTATGGTATAGTGAAGTGCTGGGAGACTTGAAGCCTTGAGAGGCAATGAGAAAACTGTTGGGAGATTTGAAGCCTTGAGAGGCAATGAGAAAACTGTTTTTTTCTGGTGAAGCTCACAGAAACAGATGAAGAAGACTTTTTTTGCCTTTGAATAAGTTATCCTTAAAAATGCTGTCTCTAAACTCATGGCCCGTACACACCTCAGAGTGATGTGAAAATGGGAGGAGTGAACTCTAATAATAGCAGCTCTGGGAAGCTAACATTAGAGCAATAGAAAACTATAACAAAAATAGTTTTCTTGTGAGAAACTCCATAAATTAACAGGAAGAAACTTCTGTTTCTCTATAAAGACTGGTGAAAAGACTGTAGCAAGAATTGGGACTGTTTTAACCATCAAAGTTCCAAAGTTTTTGTCTCTGTTGTCATGTGAACAAGGGAATAGTGGGTAGATAGGGGATGGAAAGGTTTTTTCTGGAAGTTTATTCTGGTGTTCTTATTATTGTAGTTTGTCAATAAACTTTTTTTTTTCTTTTAAGTTTTATGCCTGTTTTGCTCTTGTTCTAATCCATATCTCACAGCAAGAAATAAGTAATTTTCTTAGTTATTGGTTTAAAACCACGACACATATACAGAGGGAATGTGATCAGCGCTATGGATCCAGCACATCTTTTAAATCAGCAACAGTTAAAAAGTGCTGTGATTCCAGAACCCTCTGGATGAACAGCAGCACAAGTGACTTAAAAGTCACACTGGCAAAGGCTTCCCTGCTGTCATGGTGAGGAGCACACAGGGCCCTTTGGAAAGCAGCACAGAAGCTGAGGACAGAAACTAATACAAATAAACAAGCAATTCCACACAAAATTTGTTGAGCAGCCTCAAGGAAAGTGTGCTGTGAAGGCTTATGTCATTTCCCATTTCAAACCGTCCCTGTTTCCATGTTATGGGAGCTGCTTATATGCCTGGTAGGGGGAATTCTTCTGATTCTGTTCACTGCCATCATACTTTTTTGGTGTTTATGTAACAGGGAAAAGCACTGATTAACACTCTTAGAAATGCAATGGCTCATTACACTTTGATTTCATTATGACTAAACATTTGTCCTGATCACAGCTTGACATTTTCCCACAAGTGGTTTATTCTGAAATATCTGTGAATTCTTTTTCTTGAAGTTTAGTCTTCAATTGAGGATGAGGGTGTTTTCAATATCCTTGTTTAATAAATTGTCTTTTTCATAACAATGGCACTGTTGTAGATTTAGTCAAACAGCAGATAGTTTGTGTTGCTTATGATCAGGAAAGGAAAATCAGATTTTAATGTATTTATCTTCCCAGAAAGGAAACCTTTCTGTCAAATCACAAATATTACATATCCGGAGAATCATAGAATGGTTTGGGTTGGTATAGACCTGAAAGATCATCTAGTCACAATCTCCCTGCCATGGTCCACAAGTGGACACCTTCAACTGGACCACATGGTTCTAAACACTGCTCAGGAATGGGTCATCCACAGCTTCTCTCAACAACCTATTCCAGGGTCTCACCACCTTCACAGGAAAAATATTCCTCCTAGTATCAGTCTAAAACTACTGTTGCTTTTTGAAGGCATTGCCCCTTGTCCTATGAGTACATGCTCTTGTAAACCATTCCTCTCCAGATTTCTTATAGGCTCTCTTTATGATTTACTGTAAAGTATTATTTTTCAAACTCTATAAGCATTTGTTGAAATAAAACTGTTATTCCATTTTTCAGGAGTCCACTACTGAGAATGAAGACCAGCAATGCTTATCGAGTAAGTCAGTTTTTTCCATTTTTAATGCAAAAGTTGTTTCCAGGGAAAAAAAAACAATAAACTAACCAGAGATTTTTTTTTCTTTGATGCTTCAATTAAAAAAAAAAAAAAAAAAGATAATCCATGGAAACTAAGGAAAAAAATATACCCTTGCTGAACAGCTGTCTTTTTCAAATAAGTCTGAATTTTTTTGGTAGTACAGTTTCTCTCTTTTTTCCTTTCCCCTCATGCCCAGAGGTACAAAGGAGATTGGATTATTTCACATAGCAGACAAAAAAAAATCCCCCACTAGTTCCTAGTTTATGGAAGATGTGGTCTGAGCCAAAAATTGTTCATGACATGTAGTTCATCTTGAATTGTGTTCATTTATATTCAAAGACTAGTCCCTGTTCCTGCCTGCCATATGTAAAGGATGAGACCATGGGACATCCATGGGACAGCATTGTTAGCCCAAACCAGACTTGGTTTTCAATTCATCCTAAATGGGCAACTTACAAACATGCTGTGAGACTGGTCAGTGGACTTGATGTGATGGGACAGATGCTTGAGAAAGAGGAAGTGTCTTAGTTCTATGCCATGAACATTTACTCCTGATAATAGTTTATCAACCAACTAATTGCACAATCAGAAAAGCACTGTTTGTATATTAACTGACCCAAAAAATAATTTGTCATATCAGCACAACTGAGATGGGAATGAGGAGCCATGGGAGGACTCTGCCTTCCTCAGTATGGACGTTTGTTCTGACACCCCTTCAGGAAGAGAGGCAAAGCGGGGATGGCTGACACTGCCTGTTCCTCACGGCCTTCCACGCTTTGGCTAGCCCTGGACTCTTTGGCCAATGGCAACACCAAGAGTGGGGAACCATGCGGGCACGATGCGTCCCACCACAGAATCTCCAAAGCTCCACACAGTCAATCCCAATGGTTGTAGGTCGCGGTGAAAGGAGAGAGAGGACTCAGTCTCTTCTAATTTCCCAGGAACGAGTTTTATTACAAGGGCAAGGGAGTGATGACGAGGGAAAGGACTGGGACTGCAGGGAAGAGGTCTGAGCCGAGACCCTCAGCACCTCTGTGCGTCGGGTTTTAAAGGCAAGGGACAGTGAAAGCACTAACCAATGGGGATACATCAGAGGAGTGGTCATAGGAGGGGATTACAATGTTCAGAGCCAATGGTAGAGACACGGGGGAGGGACGGCAGCTAGACAATCAATGGGGCTTCGAGGAAGGGATAATGGGCAGGGAAAGAGCTAGAATAAAGGGTTGGGTTTACATAGACAGACGGGGGTTGAGGGCAGGATGAGGGTGATGGATGGGGAATTCTCTGGAAATAAGGGGTGGGTTTACAGTGATGGATAACTGGGAACAGACCACTCTGGATAACAGGGGAGCAACTGGGACAAACTAATTCGAACTTAACAAAGGTAGACAAACCGGCGGCAACAGATGGCCAAGCAATATACTCCACAGAGGATGTCTCTTTGCTTATAGCTGGTGATGTTGATGTTGCTGGTCTATACCAAAGTGCTTTGCAACAGAGAGATTTGCAGGTCTCTACTGTGTCCTGTGTGTGTCTTAAGAAGGGCATGCTACTAGCATGTAATCCACAAGGCTGATTTTTGGGAAAATTCTGTTGCTTTCCATTAGAAAATATGGCATGCCAGATGCCAGTTGTTCCTTTCTCACAGTGTTTTAACCAATCGTATGCTGTTTACGTCAGTAAAAGAGTGGTCTCCAAAGTGTGATTTGGGTACAACACTCAAGAAAAACCCTTGCTTCTTGTACAAGCATCTAGTGCACAGCTTCTAGTGCCTCCTTCATCCATAGATGGTGATATTTGGTCAGTGGCAACTGGTTTTTATTTTTGCTTTGTTTCCTGCTGTGAAAATGCTGATAAGGGTCTGATTAGGATGCTGCAAATATAATTAGCAACAATGCTAGTAAGTGAGCATTCCACACCACTTATAAGCAGAGTATCTCATCATGATGAAATTGTCATTTCAACACAGGGAGCCTGGAGCCTGGGAACTGACAAGAAGTGCTGAAGGTCTGTCCATCTATCTGTCCGTCCCCGCATGTCCACACTGCAGCTGAAGTCACTGGGATGGTGGGACTGGTTGATGTGCAAGGTTGTTACTGACATACTGACATTTAGCTGCCATGGCTTCATGGTCTCAATGCCTTCCCTCCACTGACACATTCAAGGGTACTTTACAGGTGCTGCAAAGAGCCAGTCAAAGACAAATTGCAAAAAAGACAATTAACTGCACCCATTGCACTCCTGCGGGTGTTTGTTCCGGACTGCTGATACAGCCTCCAGCTTATTCATTAAATGAGCCATTGGGACTGTGGCTTGCCCAACTCTGCTCCTAACAATGCAGATTTGTTTGTTTGGTCCACCCATTTTGACATGTCTTTTTAATGCTTTGTTCTTTAACTGAGACTGTTTTATCTTAATCTCAATGCCAGGTCATTTGTGTCCAATGAAAGATCCTGAAGAACCCTGACATTTGCCACACCAGTTTAAATATAAGCATCTGCAGATGAAAAACAGCACAAAACATAAAAGATGTACAAAGGAAAAAGAAAAATGCAGATATTTACCTGTTTTGAAATACAATTGCTGAGAAATAGAGTCTGCAGTGAATAGAGCAAAGAATAGAATAGAATAGAAGCAAAGAGACTGTGATAAGCTTTATTTTTGGGCTCGTTGAGCTTCATTGATCCTAAAGAAAATAACACTTCTAAGTCTATTGAAGCCTGCCAAATTTTGGAAGACAACTGAAGTTGTGGTGCTTATTAGAGTCATGATATTAAAGTGTGTTTATACAGAAAACAGCAAATGTGTGTCTTTATTAAGTGCTTTCCTACACTAGCCATGCAGAAATTGCTGATGATTGCTTATTAAAAAAAAAAAAAAGCTTTACCTCTAAGCACAGCTGTATAAATTGAACACTGGTTTTTGGGAAAAGAGCACATAGAATAGAAAGTATAAAATGACCAGTTTCTAGTGTTGTGTGCTACAGGAACCTTTAAAACTTACTTTATTGCTCTTTTAACAATGAGGTCAGAAGAAAGGATATATTTATATATCCTTTATATATTAATATGTTTATATTTATATATAAATATAAATATTTTATTTTGATATTTGTCTTGATGCTTGATCAAGACTTTGAAGTGTGTATAGCCAGACCTCAAGACTACTATAAATTTTTGCCATTGCATTAGTTATATATCAAAAGGTATTGGTTGCTAAATGCTCTGCTCAAAAATGCAGGGTTTACCATACAAAACTCTTTCCTTTCCTTACGTATTTTTTTTTCTGTCTGAGCCTCTTGTCACAGTGCTCCTGCAGGAGAGGCAGCAGCAGAGCAAATTCACCACCAGCGTGCCTCATCTGATGGGTAGGGACCACATCAAGAGGCTGAAAGCAGCTGAGGCAGTTGACATGGGTGCCAGTAAGTGTCAAAAGTTGCTGTCATTCCCTTCTATGGACACCTGTCCATCGGGAACCAGCCCAAGACCTCCAAAGTAGTTTGACAAAAATCAATGAATAGGCAGCAGCTGACAACAGTCTTTAGTTACACCCCAGGTAACTAGCTGGTAAAAGGATTCATTAGGCCTTGTTGGCAACAATGAAGAACTGTATCCAGACCATGAAACCACATGCATGGTAATGTAGGTAACAACAGATGATCTGGTGATGATGTAAAGGAGCCCTGGAGGGCAATGGCTGTCTCCAGGTGAGACACTACTGCCTTACTCTGCTGAGAGTTCCATCTACTCCAATTGGCATTACACTTTATCAACCAGATTTTATCTAGGTCTCAATCATTTAATCTGGATCTCCAGTGCAAACTACAATCCCAGTTGTCACTACATCAGTTAGCAATCTTTAAAATTACCAGATCAGACACTTGGCAAAGTGTCAGGAGAGATGGCAAGATGAGGGATGGCCAGAAAGACCTGGCTCTGGCTGACAGGCTTTTTGTCTCTGTCACAGCCATCATAGGACAAACATGATAACCAGAGGCCTAACTCACATAAATGTTATGGGTCAGACAGACATCCAGCTTTAACTTGTCAAAGAACATACAACTGAAAGATAAACCACCTATTCCTTAGAGATACAGTATCTAGTAGTGGATGATTCTTTTGCAATGCTTATAAATAAAACTGAGGTTATTTAATTCCACTTAGTTTATGTGATCTTTCCCTTGTATGTCACAGGCAGTAAGAGTAACTGCAGTCAATCGTGGTCATGCATCCAAAGGCTCCCAAGTTTGTTTCCCTGTGTTGACAAGTGCATAAGCCCTTGATTTCACATCACACTACACCGATGCAGCTAAACAGGTTTAAATTAATATTTTCATCCTTCTTCCAGTTGTTTCTAAGCCAATGTATTTTGGTGTATAGATGAAGCCAGTGATGTCCTGCAGGTTGTAAGAAACTCAATGTCTGAATTTAGGCATTGGCTGAGTTCTCATTATTCCAGAATGAGTTAATCAACTTCTTCACCTCAGCCTTACCAGATATTTGGTTTAATCTGAATCATGTGTGTTTTCTGGGTAGTTTCCAACTTTATGGGTTTCAATGCAGCCTGTGCCCTTAAAGGTCCAGGCATAAATCATATATTGTTGTGAGGACACCAATACATTGCCAAAGTGATATTTCATGCTTCATTACTCCCAAACTCACTCTGCAATAGAAAACAGAAAATTAAAATATCAATTTCATTACAAAGAGCACCCCTCTGAGTCCCATGAAGATGGAAACACCACTATGTTGTGCTTTGCTTGCAGAAGATTTAGCCAACATAGTGACTCTACTCCAAGAAATGCTTGGGCAGCAATGGTCTTGGACTGGGATAAATCTGCTGTCACTACTCTTTATACTATGTTTCTTGGGAAAATAAGAAAAGAGAAAGCAATGCTAAACAACTATGAAATAACAGCACAACAGCAAAGAGCATCAGTGCAGCAAGGTTTGTTGCAAAAAAAATTTTCCTCCACTTCGTGTGTGCATGCCAACACAAATATATTACATCATTGCAACAATACTCAACTAGAGTAAGTATAGATATTACTGTAAAATTGGTGACTGTAATTCTGGATGATTTACAAGGCCACGCTAGTAAATACCAAAACTCTCAAGACTCCTGAGCCTGATTTTGCCTGGTTTGGATGTGTTGTGAAGCCAGCCATTCCATTGGCATAGGTAAGTTTTGCAAGAGTAAATTTTTATAAAAACAGGATAATTAGGAGTAAAACTTTTCCTGAAACACCTAAACAGCTTTATAGGAGATATAAAATCTTTTGTTAACTCAACTGAGAGGATAAAAGAAAAGGGAAGCTTTCAAATTTTTGAACATTTCTTAACATGTCAGCCGCATAAGAGATTTGAACTTTCATGCAAAATTTGTCTTTTCCACTGAGGCCATGATGACACAACAAAGTTATTACAAAAGTGACTTAGAGAATTTAAATACTTTATTTTCATAGACCTAAAATTAGGGTCTTAGTTTTTTGACACAGCAACATACATTTTTGCTTAAGACACTCATTTATTGTGGTCATGTAATTAGACTAAATGGGCTTCAAGGCTGTGTTGCTCTTCTGGTTCTTCCTATTTTCTTTTCTTTTTGTATTCTATTTTGTCCTGTGAAACTTTTTTTTTCAGTGGCTTTTTTCCATTTTGTAGACCTAAATCTTCTACTGATAAAATCACTGAGACCTATATCACTGGTGATTGAAGAAGTACAAAAAAGCCATATTTCTGGGCTAAACTTCATCAAGCAAGGATTTTTCTTGTGATTTTAAAGGCTGGTTCAGGCAACCTTTTCTTCAATAGATTAACTTGCCTCCTCACTTACGCAACTCATTATACTCCTCTACTTAAATAAGAAGTAAACACCTACATAAGTAATGTATCACAAGTTCTTCACATGAGATCACTCATGGAATAAGGAAATGTTTAGCTGTGGCAATATTGCAAAAATAACATCTGGCCTTTTTATGAATGAGTATAGGGAAAAAATTCTGTATCCAATAGTTAGGAATAGCTAAGGTTGTCTTGACACATTTGAATAAATTATATCAGAAGTCAAATATTCTTATTCCATCATCATTTTTTGACCAATAAATTGATATCTAGACATAAATGTAGTATTGATTATTTTAATTTTTGTTGTAGCCTGCTAATTACACAAAGTTGTACTCATGCAGTGTTGAAGGAAGGTTAATAAACAGTAGGGAAAAAATAGACATCTGAAACTCAAACTGCAATCAGTCCAGATTTTGTAATTTTTTTTTTTAATCTGTAATAAATGCATTTTATGTTGTTCAAAACTAGGTATTTTAAATATATTATCTGGTTCTTTAATAAATAGAAATAATTTTAAGACATAAAAGACTTCATGGCATAATTTAATTTTACCTTTTAAAAACACAAAACCATGCAGGTTACAAAAGAGGAATTTTGATAATATTTTTTTCCTTTATTTTTATTTATTTTTTCCTTTATTGATTTAAAACAGAAAAATAAGGAAGAAAATAGGAGGGGAGAGGAAAGGGAAGCAATAGACAAAGAGGGTAGAAGCATCTTATTATTCTAAACACTTTTCCCTGTAAGTTTTAATCTAGAATGAGAATTATTTGATGGGTTTATCCAGTAAATACCAATATATATAATCAAGACAACAGAGTCTTTTTTACTCGGGAATCTAAAAAACAGGTGCTAGCTCTTAGCAGTGTGAAGTCAAGTAGTATGCAATTGTCTTGTTTTGTCATAGCAGTGCTACCAGAGCCTGGTAAAGAAGAAGAAACCTATCATTGTGTCAATAGTGAAGTTAATGCCAAAATAAAATAATATTTATCCTGTAAAGTAGCAGCTGTATTGTACCATTGAATTCAGTGGTCTACAAGGTTCTTAGCAATGAACACAACCAGCTGTGCTTGCGAAGAACAGGCAGCTTGCATCACCTCAATGTAGGCTCAAAATGAACTTATTTTTAATAGTTGCATAATTTTCCATTTGTAAATGGTCTTCAGTTCTTTTCAATATTCTTGTAACAGACATCTGTGCTGGCATCTTGAGCGTTTTGGGGTTGTTTATTTTTGGCTTGTTGCTGATGGTTAGCAGAAGAGACACTTACAGGTTCTGTTTGAGGAACCTCAGGGCTCTGTTTTAGGCAGCTCAGCCTAACGGAATTAAGTCTGACACGTTTCAAGTCTAGTACTTTGTAAAATAAACATAAAACAATGGTTTAGATTTCTAATACAACTCCTGAACCATATGAGACTCAAACTTTCCCAGTTGCTTTACACATCTATAAATAAAGACCATAAAAGAAGAGTAGAACAGGATAAATCAACATGAATTTGAAATCTGCTGCAGCATATTAAATGGTGCAGTCTCACTGAAATAAAGGGTGACCCTCTGGCTTCTTGCAGTTTGAAGCTAATTGTTTTCGTCAGGATGGGAACATCTGGAAGTCCACTGCAGTGTCCCACCAGCAAGGCTTCAGTAACTGAGCTGGCTTGCAGAGAATGAGCCCACTCTGTAGTGACACAGCAGGCTCAGCCACCACCTATTCTGCTCTCCAAACTGTCATGCATAACAACTTCATTGTGCTAAATTGAACTTGAAAGCAACTAAAGGCTATGAGAAGGAGAGGCTATGAGAAAAGCGTGCTGTCAGCACTGGCAAAAGCTGACCTGGAAAGTAGGCTCAGAGACAGAATAAAAGACCAGGACCCATGAACATAGCATATTGTTTCATGTTAAAGTATGATTCCCATACCAGTGAAAATTGCAAAATGTGATGTAAATTTATTTAAATAGATTCCACAGCTTAAAAGTTTGCCAGCCGCTCTTATCCAACTTTCCCAGCACTCTGATTTGTTACTTACAGTGGGAATGTAATGATATATAGTCATCATTGTAACAGCTTCTTTGCAGAGACACAAAGATGATTAATAGCTAGCAGCAAATTTTCACATGGGCTCTGAAGCACTATAGCATTAAGCAGCCAAACACTCCCAAATCCCCCTTTTCTGTTCCACTGAAAAGTACTCTCCATGTAACTTGCAGATATGAACAAAGCCTATCTTAATTCCAATCAGCTTTTCCTCATTCAAAGAAACTTTCTCTTTTTCATAATTGATTCATGTGCATTTTTCTTTCATCTTTCACTGAGCCTGAGACTCTTCTTTCTACTGGGTGGAGAAAGAAAATATTTTCAGTAATTCATGATTTTGCTTTGTTTGTCCCTCTAAAATACATTTTGAAAATTTTCTTAGTTAAGCTAGTGCATATTAAATTGACACACAAAACTGAAAAGGAAGCCTTAACTTTCTGAAAGATTATTAAGCACAAGCACTAAGAGATGAGCTCAAAGAAACAGTTTTAGTTGTGTGAGTCAAAGACTGGAGAGCAACAACAATAAGCTCCCTCAATTTATTGTATCAATTTCCATTTCTATAAGAAAATTTTAGTTGAAACTGGAATTAATTCACTTTTCCTTGCAAAATAATTTCAAAGATAAAACTTTGAATAGATATATTTTATCAGATTTATTTAGAAATACCTAGAAATGCATTATTTTTATATTAATGTTTAATATAAAACTGATCACTGATGATTGACTGATGATGATTCACATCAGTGATGTGAATTTATCTTTTTTCCAAAAAGGTCCTTGCCATGTTGATGGAGAAAAAAAATATTTTTAGGGAAGTTTCAGTGTTCCTTTCAACATTTTTACTGTGGTAAAACTAAACTTGGAGGGACTAACACTCGATTTACATTAGATTAAGCATAGGGCAGAACAGCAGGATACAATTTTAGGTTTTTATTAGGGTAAACACTTTAAAGAGAAAGGAAGGTTGTACCAGAACAAAAAAGTTGAAATTTATGAAGAATGTCAGGTTTGCTGATGCTCTGGAGGAACTTACAAATCCTATAATTCCATGTATGTACCACACACCCCATTAGACTCTTTATTGGTGTTCCACTCATTAACTGATTATTTGATCTGTCCAATCCAGGAAAATATTCCTTACCCTTTGCATATTAGATATAATGTGGATGAAAATTGACCTTGGAAGTAACATAATATCTAACAGTAAGCAGAGTTTGCTGAAATTATTTCATATAGCATGTGAGATGAAGAAGTAAATACATTCATCACCAATCTTCTTTTACATGCATTTTAAGATAACATTATGATCAAGTTGTCTGTTAATTTGGTGTGTTTATTGTCCAGAAGAAATTAAAATCTCAAATATTTCACAATAAATTATTTTGAAAGAATACAAAATATCTGTGAACATTTTCAATTGCTTTTTATTCACAGAAAATTGTTATTTGGTTTGTTTCAGGAATGAAGTTTTCTAGTGAGATTAATGGCATGGCAGATTTTCATCAGAATTTTCTTACAATTACTTATGAAATAACATTGCATATCAAAATCTCTCAGGAGATTGGATTTCTACTCAATTTCTTTATGTTTCTGCCCTTTGTAAGCATGTTTGCTCCTTCTTTGTATGTAAGAGATTTTTTTACCCTGGAGTAACTTCGCAGAATTATGGATGATTTAATACATATGACCCAAAACTTGAATCAGACTCACAGAATTTTTGTCAAGTATTATTGCTCAATGAAAAAGGTTGCATTACTCACCTGAGATTCTTCTCTTTCTATCAGTATGTGACATTCTTTTCTCTCAACCAAAAGATACACTGCTTTAAAGAAAGAACCTTCATTATTTTCTCCTAGCAATTCCACTTTTGACTTTTAATTGAAATCACTCGACATTTAATTGAAAGACTTAAAAATAATGCAAATTCTTGTAGCTATTAGTGACCTCTATTGAATAACACTTGCATTGCTGTTATTTAAGGACTGTCATTGGAAATATTCCCAGAACAGTGGAAATCTAAGCTTGCATATGGATGAGGGAGATCCATTCACTGGTTTATGGATCCCAGGTTTCTCAGTTGTAGTTGCAAATTGATCCAGTGTCCCCTTTGATCCCATGTTGTTTATTCCATTTTATTGAAACTCTGAAACTGCTGCAAAAAATGTAAAATCTTGTGTAGTTGGTGAACTCTCCATTGTGTATCTAAGCTTTGTTTGTACTGTTTATTGTGGCAAATACTGCATGGTAACTTAAGACTTAAATGGAAAACCTGCTGTTAATTACTATTAGGAATAGGGGGCAGAATCTACTACTTCTTGGTTTTAGGAGGTAAAAAGTGGTTATTTTCTTTCTTTTTCACACTAAATATATTCCTTTCGCATCTCCACCTTCAACCTTATTACATTTTTTTGCTTTGGCACAATTTTAATACAGATATGTCGTGTAGGTTCATCACAAAGCTGGCAGTCCATAGAATAAAGAAGTTCTGGGAATTCTTCTGCCTTAGAACCAGGTCTCTTGCATGATTCTTCTCTCATTGCTGGTTTTTTCCTAGAATCTAGAGAAAAAAAAAAACTCATTCTTGTTCCCTGGGCAGTCACCCTGACTGCCTTTTTCTACACTCCTTGAAAACTCTCTTCTGTCAAGTTCTAGGACATCACAGGTCTGTCCGTAAGTCCCTCTTTGGCTTAAGAACTGCCAAACCGTGTCACTGTGTCTGTGCATTGAAGATCTCTGACACTAAAGTGCTGCAACTCTTCCTGTAAGACCACATATTTTTAAGGAAGAAGAAACTCTGTATTGTTCAGTTCTTCCTATATTGTTCAGTTATTCCTATAACTGTGTATACCTGGAATGAGAAAATTACATTTTTTACTCATTCCAGGTATACACAGTTCCACGTTTCCAAGTTAATCTGTTTTATTATCCAGTTCAGATTACTTCTTGTTTCCTCTGTGGGCTGACAACCTGGTGTTGATTGAACCTTGATTTCATATCTGTTTTAAAATATGGGGAACAAATGCATTCAGTTGTCTTGGGAAATAGCCCTGTAAACACATTGGCATTACATTTTGTGTTTAATTGCAGCAACAACAGCCTCTCTTAAACAAAGATGCCCAAAAGCTGTAAAGAAAACCTACTTCCATTCAAAGTACCTGCTTTCACTCAAGTACCCAGTGCACAGCTTTTTACTACTAAATCTCAGCTCTGACACTAATGAAACTTTACAAAGTCTTGCTGAAGGCTAGAATAAGACCCCATCTTCCATTTCTTCTATTTTTTTTTATTATTTTTGCCCTGGTTTCTTCATATTCTTTAGTCTTCAGTACAAGCAGTAGATTGTGGTTAGTATCATAGATGCAAGTGTCCCATGATATCATATTTCTTGAACTGTATTTGCAAGTGTCCCATGATATCATATTTCTTGAACTGTATTTTTGGATCCTTGCTGACAATTCCTTAGTTGCTATGAAGGCAGATGGTGCTTTCTGCCTAGAATTCCACTATTCCTGTCTTCTCTTACTTTCACCTTTAACCTTTTACTTTCTGATTCTCATGGATCACCAACATTTGTATGTTTATCCAATAAACAACCTTCTGAGAAAGGAATCTTCTTCCAAGTGTAATAGAATTTATTTCTCAAACTCTTAAAGCAAACAGTTCTCTGCAAAGAAAAGAAGCACTTTGTACCCTTAGGAAATAAGGAAGCTATCATGTTGTTCATTACCCCCAGCATATGCTTCCTCTTGGCTGAATATCATCATGTGAAACAAAGCTGAGTAAAGAATGGGGTATGATGATGCAAGTAAACACTGAGGGGACCTCAGTGCCAGGAAACCTGGGTGCATTGTGCTCGCAGAGGAGAAAAGATTCAGAAAGGACATGGAGAAGTGGTGAATTTTCACAGCTGATGGTAAGAAGGAAGATAAAGCAGATGGCTACTGGAGATATCAAAAATGATTACTAGGATTAGGATATAAAGGCATCCTTCCTTCATCAACTCACAGGAGACAATCTGTTCACATTTTCACATTCAAAATGATTTTAAAAAAATTTGAGAGGCACTGGAAAATTGGAATGGATCCAGTTTTGAGGGAACAAGATGATTACAGTGCTGGGGAGCTTGGCATATGGTGAAAGGTTGAAGGAATTGTGTTTGCTGTGCCAGGGGACGATGAAGTTAAGAGGATCAAAGAATCTTTTATCTAAAAAAGGTACTTACGGAGGAGAAACTGTTCTTGCTTCACAGTGATGCATGGTGACAGGACAAGAGGGAAAGGGTACATACTGCTGCCTGGAAAGTGGAAAAACATCACTAAGAGCACTCTAAAATATTGGAATAATTTGCTCAGGGAAGTGGTAGAATCTACCTTGTTGAAAATATTCATGTCTGTCATGGGGTAGCTTTACCTTTAAGACAGCTTGGAGGGAGAGGAAGTTGAAGCTGCTGGTGGCTGATGGGAGTTTTTCCTCGTGACCAATTATCAGTCAGTTCCAAAAATTGACAGCAGATCTGACCATTAAAAAGTGAATTTAACTTGTAAACACCCCCTTAAGAAGTACAGACAGAATTCTCTTGCTCTCTTTGGTTTCCGGCTTCGGACAAGGTAGCAGGCTCTGTCTTGGCCTCCTCCCTCCCTCTCCAGGCCTACAAGGCCGTGGGGTGGAGGTGGGGAGGGAGAAGAGAAGCAGCGCTGGCCAGCCGAGCTTGATTTTCAGTTTTTGCTGCTAGACTGAAACTTAACACCATGAACTCTTGCAGTTTTCTTAAAGCTTTTAATTCTTTTACTACTTGGATAAACGCACAGATTACTCCTTTTCTCAGAAAGACAGAGAAAGAGACAATCAACATAGAGGAGACATCATAGAACCACCAAAAACAGTGAAGAAAAGAGTTAAGTTTAAATAAGAAAGAGAGAATAAGGAGATGCTTTACAGCTAAAATATCTTTCTATTAAAGCTATGGAGATGGACAATAATAGTATAAAAAGACTCCTTTAATTCATGATAAGAGTATTAGGAGGAATGAGATATTCAAAGTGTAACTTTTGAGCAGAAGAGAGAGAGAGAGAGTGCTTGTGATACTGTGAGTTGCTGGAATTGAGTTGAGTGAAGATTTTGAAGCTTTGGGAGGCAAAGAGAAAACTGTTTTCCAGGAAGGCTCACAGAGACAAATGAAGAAGACTTCTGCGTTTGAATAACTTATCCTTAAAAATAAAATTCCTAAACTCTGTGACCCATACACACCTCGGAGATGTGAAATGAGAAGAGAAGATCTAATGACAGATTTCCGGGCAGCTGACATTAGAGAAATAGAAAACTATGATGAAAAATAGTTTTCTCGTGAGAAACTCCGTAAGCTAACAGAAAGAGACTTCTGTTTCTCTACAAAGACTGGTGAAAGACTGTAGCAAGAATTAAGACTGTTTTTAACCACCAAAGTCCTAAAGTTTTTGTCTGTATGTTGTCATGTGTACAGAGAAATAGTTAAGATGTGGAAGATAAGGGGGTTTTCTGAAAGTTTATTCTAGTGTTCTTATTCTTGTAGTTTGTTAATAAACTGTCTTTATTCCTTTTAAGTTTTAAGCCTGTTTTGCTCTTGTTCTAATCCATATCTCACAACAAGAAATAAGTAGTTTTTTTAGTTACTGGTTTAAAACCACGACAGTGTCTTAGTTTGATAAGGCCCTGGATAACCTAATTTAAAGACTAAGAGGTTGGATCAGATGATTTCTAAATGTCCCTTCCAACCTAGACTTCTCTATTATTCTGCATCTGATACTTGATCTGAGTTTAGCATAGGGTAACAATCCTAGAATAAGGCTAATTTTAAAGGCTATGTTAAAAATTAGCATACATTTAGCATTTCAAAACAAAACATATATTTTTAATTATGTCCTTTTAACAAGGGTAAACTGTTCGGCAGCTTTTTAAAAAAATTTAGAGTTCCAGGCCAATGTGCTCAGTTCTTCAGCCAGCCATTCTCCACTCTCACCTCAAGCATCTCTGCGTTCTAAGTAGCTCTGACAACCTGTCTGTCTCAGATATGTATCTGTCAATCAAGACTAAGTTGCTGTGATCTTCAATTAATATAAAAGAGTGACTTGGATTAAAATATTTGTTGCAGAAGCCATCAGAAAATATAATTTTGTAAAAATTTATTTTTAATTGTTTTGATTGTATTCCATTGTGGATAATGTCACTACACATCTTTTATTGTGCCTCCTCTTTGATTCTAACTTCTCTCACCCGCTTTGAGTCCTCCAATATTTCTTTTGTTAATTTTAATCATCAAGTCAGCTACCATTTCCATTTTGCTGCCTCTTATTTCCTACTCCTTATATTATCATTTCTCCTGAAATAGTTCACTGGTTCTCATACCTTACTCCAGTGACATGCTCTCAGCCTCACCTCTGCTTGGAACTGATCCTTCTCTGTGATCTTCTGCACCAAATCTCTCTCCTCTGTTGATCTCTGCCCCTCATTTCGGCCCTTCCCAAGACTTAGAGTTTGACAGTATCTATCAATTCTGCAGTGCATCTGCTGTTTACTTTTGTGTAACATTTTTTCGGATTATAGTCTACAGTTATAGGGTCTTTTATACTGTAAACTCTTGATCATTTCATCATTGGTTTTTGCCTTCTGTGAGATCACAAACACGATCTACTGCCTCTGAAGTCTCTGAAGTTTCTACTGCCTCTGAAGTTTCATGTTGTTTTTGCCGTGGAATTATGAAGGCCAAGTAATTTCCCTCTTCTGCATGTCTTTTCAAATGTTATGTTTGTTATATCTGTAGAATAACTGTGCTTCTGTTCCCTGTTCAAGTGCTGATTTTACAGTCTTTTTTGCCTTTTCTGCAGCTTCATGTCTTTCTGTTGTTGACTCCACTTGAGGATTCATCAAGTTTAGAATCATGGAATCATAGAATGAATTGAATTGGAAGGGAGCTTAAAGAGCGCATAGTTATAATGCCCCTACCACTGGGGATTCTCCTCTCCTTTTCCAACGTGCCCAGTCATGTTCTTCCCTGTTGCTATGCTCTTGTCTTCTTTGGTAAAATCTTTGCTCTACTAAAACCTTTGCTCCTATCCTGTTGCCATCTTCAGGCTCATGATATGCTTTCAGTGGAGAAGAGGGGCAGCAGTCATTGCACAAGATAAATGGAGCTTCTGGAGGACTCTCAGCTCTTTGTAACACCCTCTTGTACTGCTCTCCAGGCCGATTCTTGGTACAAAGTAATTCAACATCTAATCACCTCAGCTCTCTCTGGGACAAACTCCTCTGTTTACTCAGGAAAAACTGAAGAGGAAGACATCCAAATCCTAATGGTCTGTCTCTCCCTGTCCTGGAGTAGACTTTAGGTCTCCAGTCTGTTTTCCTAATTCATTGGGGTAGTGCTGTTTTACTACCTGCACAGTGATTCTTTCAAAGCCACACTTTTGAATGGCACTTCCTATTCCAGCTTTTCTTCAAACAAAACAATTGGGTGTGATCTCCACAACTGCAGTGATTGCAAATTTAGAATAAAATATGAGGCAGCCTGCCACAGCCTCAGCTACAAACTGTCTGGAGACTAATAGTTTTGGTATGACTTAGATCAGCCTGAAGATGATCTCAATGACCTCTATCTGTCCCATGGGATCCCTGCATTGGGTAAAGACCAAGGAAATACATACTTTGCCCTGCCTTACTTGTCTGGTCATGATTCCTTCCTAACTAACCACTCCTACAATAAGAAATAACAAATAGTGGTGCAGCACACTGTGTTGCTTTTGCATAGTTGATTTTCTGGTGAGGAAGGAAGAAACCAGCCATGGAAGTGTTTTTTTCCCGTGGGAAGTTGCTGGAAGCTTCCTCCATGCCTGACAAAGCCAATTGCAGGCTGGCTCTGAAAGAAGACACACTGCCAAGCCAATTGAAGTAGTTGCTGCTGCCTCTGTGATGACATTATTTAAGAAAGAAAAAACCACATGGAAGTCCCCTTTTTTCTCTTCTCTCAGGGCTGTCAAGGAGGCCACCGAGGCCCTTCCCGGCGCGGCCAGGCCCTTGCGGCCGGGCCCATCTCAGCGTGGCCCGCACGGGTGGTGCTTGCCTGGCCGCCTTTGCCTGGCCATGCTGAGGGCACAGGGGCAGCGGCGGCAGCGGCGGCTCCTCTGTCCCGGTGCCCGGCACCAAGAGAGCCGCTGGATGCAGCCGGAGCTGCGGGGACCAGGCGGGCGGCAGCCAGGGGCACGATGAGCCATTCCCCGACGTGGAGCCCGGCCGGGATCAACCTTGCAGTGCTGCTAAACCCTCTGAGAACCTCTCGTGGACAGAACTCGAGAACGGACAAACATGCGGACACCAATTCTCTCCCGAGTCAGAGAGAAGGAAAAGGCGAGGACACGTGAGGAGAACAAAGCGACACCAAAGCCGCTGAAAGGAGGGAGGGGCAGGAGGTGCTCCGGGAGCTGAAATTCTTCTACAAGCCATGATGAGGACTAGGATAGAACAAACTGGTTCCCTGTAATTCATGACGTGCATGGAGGGAGGCAGAGGTCCACTTGCAGCCGGTGAAAAAAGGTGTTCAGCCGGAGTGCGTGGATGCTGGAAAGCTGCAATCTAGTGGGAAACTCGAAGAGAGAGAGAGAGAAGATAGAGAAAGAGAACCCTTGCTTCCAACCCAGAACAAGTCATCCTTAAAAACGACACACCATGAGCTAAACTGACCCACGCCATGTAGCTCGAGAAGGCTGCTGTGCCCGTGGGAGGACTCATGTTACAGCAGGTTGGGCAGGACTGCTACTCCTGGAAATTGGAACCACCTCGGAGAAGTTCACTAAGAACTGTCTCTCATGGGAAGGACCCCACAATATAACAGAAGAGACTCCTCTCCCTAAGCGAAGAAAGATTTTTAGAAGTCACAAACTGACAAGAAACCCCATATTTTGTCTCCCTGCACTGTTGTAGGAGGGAAAGAAGGGCTGGAGGGGGGATGGGGGGTGCAAAGCTGTTTTAAAACTGTATTTTAGTTCTCATTATCCTCTTGTAATTCTTTTACTAAGTTTTCTTCATACCTTTTAGGTTTTGATCCTGTTTTGCTGTTAAGAGTGTTTTCTCCTAATCCTTATCTCACCCCATGAACCTTTTGTCTTTTCTCTCCCCCTCCACTGTTCAACTGTAGCAGAGGAGAATGAGTGAAGGGTTTTTCATGGGTGCCTGAAAAAATCACTGCAGTCAGAATTGTGGGACATGACTCTTTGAGTAATACCTTTTCTCGGTTATGTTCATATTGCCGTAAATGCATTGGATAAGAACATGACCTCATACTTTGAGCATCCTACCAGAACAAAGATGCACATGTAACTCAGCTTTTCTATATGAGTCTCAGGTTTCCTACATCAGTCTACTCTAGCAGGTGCTGAGGACAAGAAGT